GGAGCAGTGGGCAGCCATTTTTTGCTGCGGCGCCCGGGGAGCAGTTGGGGGTTCGGTGCCTTACTCAAGGGTGCCTTGCTGTACATTCACTCCCCCCACCTACAATCCCTGCCAGTATGAGACTCGAACCCGCAACCTTTGGGTTACGAGTCCGACTCTCTAACCGTTAGGCCACGACTTCCCTGAAAGTGAGCAAAGAGTGCTCCCTAAGCTGTCATTCAATTCAGCTGCAGCACTGAATGGCTATAATGCGCAATGCTGCAAATCGAATTGTAATTAGATTAGGGTTGTGCCGATAGACGATAGTATCGTGTATAGACGATAGTCAGAGATATCGCCTGTGGCTGATGCCTTTGACGATAGCAAGACGATTATTATTATTATTATTATCATCAGATTAGTAATATTAATCAAATTAATATTAGGGCTTATTGGTTGCATTATATTTCTTTTTACGCGTTTTTACAGTATTGCATGTTTTAACCAATCACACACGATTATGCTGAGCTTATGAATGCAATGGCCAATCAGAGGCGTTCAGATGAGTCATCACTGAAACAGCAGAGTTCTGTTGTTCAGCGCGCACTGACTGAATTCTGACTCGCGAAATCTCCCATCATAAACAAAGTGCAGATCTACGTGCGATGTAAGTATAAGAGATTTATTCATCATACAGTGTATATTCACTGATTTTAACGGAATTTTGAACGGTGTTTTTAAAGTGCATAACGCGCTAGACTGAGCTTGTGATGATGTTATTTGGTAATGTAATGTTTGCTCGTTTTCTGTAGCTGCTTTTTGAATAACTGAGGAAATGTTAAGCATTATAATTAGTAACTTACGATGTTTCTATTAATTTGTTATCATGTTAAATACAAATTCAGTCATATAAAAAAAACATTAGGCTGCTTTTAGCCTTACGCTGGAGTTGGTTCACTTTCCCGCAATGAAACTAAGTAAATAATTACATAAATTAGCACGATAATATCGTGTATCGGCGATCTCACAGGCTGACGATAGGATGATATGAAAATTGAGTATATCGCTCAACACTAAATTAGATGTAAATAGATGTAAATAGACGGCCCTCAGACAGAGCGTAAACATAATTACGAATGGGACCGTTTAAAGGCAGCTGCCTATAGCGGGTATCGAATTGTAGGCTATAAGTTATCTGTTAATTCTGCTAAACTTTAATTACTAAAACTAAAGCTGAAACTATAAACTCTATAAAACGAAATGTGTTCACAAGGTAAAAAAAAATATTAATAAAACTAATAAAAACGAAACTGAATTTTATAGCAAATTTGAAAACAATATTAAAATAAAACGAATTAAAAAATTCAAAACTATAATAACCTTGCTACATACTGTCCTGTCCTAATAAAGAAAAAAAAAATCTTAAACAACATTTAGCTCAATTGTTTTATACCTTAGACCAGAGCCATTTGGCTTTCTCGATGAAGAGCTCAGAGAGGTGGGAGTTTTCAGCATTGAGCAGGGCGTTGAAAGCTGTTTGGTGATGACCAGCTCTTCTGGCCACACGAGCGCTCTGCAGCCAGCACTCACCAACCTGCTCCTCACATGAAGAACTGCAAAGAAGTCTTCATCAGCATAACAAACGCACTCTCAAATCTAATTATATCACCACTCAAACAGAATAGTTACAGAATACCTAACCCTAATGAATTAAAATGATTTACAAAGAGACAAGACAATATACTACCAAGTATCTTTAAAAGCATATTCAAAAATGAACTCATTACTTGGATTTTTGACATGGAAGTAAAACATTTTGTATTTTGAACTGGAAGTAGCATGTGCTCACACCCCTTGCTGAGATTGAGAAGAGCTCTCCGCAGGGCCAGGATGGGTTCCTTGGCTCTGAATGAGTTTTGGGCCATAAGTTGGCGGGCGTCCCAGTTGAGTTTGGGCTCAGGCTTTTTTTCTGTGCTTTCCTTCTGCAGCTCAGTGAAGGCATGCTCCAACTCACACAGCATGTGCAGCCTAAGACCCAACACGAAAGTTGAGCATACTATATGTGTAGTTTTTATTTTTCCAAAATGGTCAACCACTAGATTACCTGACAATGTACGAGTATCCTCTCTGATAGGTGCCACACTCAAAACTGGCTGCTGATAAAGGGACGACTTGTTCTTTCCTGGCTATTTTAATTTTTCATAGAATGCCTCGGAATCTTGCTTCTTGGCAGCCAGCAACATTTGGCCAAGTCTGACACCCCATGTGCTGGACTTACAATCTATAAAACAGATATGACAAACATTAACGCTTCTTCAATCTAAAAAACATTTCTAGGTTTCTAGAAACAGCAAAAATCCTTTACCAGAGGCAAGATAGTCCTCAACTAAGTCCCACTTTGACAGCATCCATGCTGCCTCGACCCGGTACGCATTCAGATCGGACTTCCATCGTGGCCTTTGTAAAGGAAATAACGTCAGTTTAAAAACACAAAACCTGGAGCTGCATGAAACAGTGTCAGAAGGCTGCGTCTACATCAGTACACCTACCTGCTGGCCAGAACTCCATTGACCTGGGTTATTACTGTAGAGGGTTGGCCAAGACCCAACATAGAGTTCATAACACCATGATAATGGACAATCTGCATGCAAAGATAAGCAAGTGAGAGGGAAAAGTAGTAGTTACCATAATACTAGAAATGAGAAAATACATGAATGGTTAACCATGCAAATGTCAGTGACAGAACACTCTCAAGTTAAACTAAATCAAATCAAGTTTCCAATATGATCTTACTTAAAAGATATGAACTATACTTGTATTATAAAAGATATTAACTTAAATTACTACATAGGATTCTACAGAATATAACAAAAAAAAATTGTCATATCGGATCTACTGCATTCGCCTGGGTAGTTCTCAAAATATGCTGCTTGAATTTTCAGTCATGAAAAGCATATCAAATATTCCAGCAACCCCATAAATTGCATCATTCTATAATTAAATAAAATTAAATCGTTTGACTCTTATGGAGCCCCAAATCTGCATACATACATACAGTGCCGTGAAAAGGTTTTTGCCCCCTTCCTGTTTTTTTTTTTCTTTTTTCTTTTTTCTTTTTTCTTTTTTTTGCATATTTGTCACACTTAAAAGATTCAGATCAAACCAATTTTAATATTACACAAAGATAACCGTGGGGTCTTTTATGTCCTCTTGGATGAGTCGTCGTTGTGCTCTTGGAGTAATTTTGGCTGGCCGGCAACTCCTGGGAAGGTTCACCACTGTTCCGTTTTCTCAATTTGTGGATAATGGCTGTGACCATGGTTTGCTGGAGTCCCAAAGCCTTAGAAATGGCTTTATAACCCTTTCCAGACTGATACATGTCAACTATTTTGTTTCTCAGCTGTTCTTGAATTTCTTTAGATCGCGGCATGATGTGCTGTTCTTTAAGCATGCTTCCGTTTGTCAGACAGGTTCTATTTAAGTGATTTCTTGATTCAACAAGTCTGGCAGTAATCAGGCCTGGTTGTGGCTAGTGAAATTTAACTCTGCTTTCTAAAATAATGTGGTTAATCACAGTCCTTTCATTGATTTAACAGGAGGGGGCAATTAATTTTTCACATAGGGCCAGGTAGGTTTGGACAGCTTTTTTCCCTTAATAAATGAAATCATCATTTCAAAACTGCATTTTGTATTTACTTGCATTATCTTTGTGTAATATTAAAATTTGTTTGATGATCGGAATCTTTTAAGTGTGACAAATATGCAAAAAATGTAAAAAACAGAAAGGGGGCAAAAACCTTTTCACGGCACCATACATACATACATACATAAAGGAATACATTACTTGATAAAACAAATAAAATGAATTTTGAATTCAATGTAATCCTAAATGTAATTCTACATCCTAAATTTTTTGTAATACTTTTTCCTTTATTAATTATTTTCTGTATTTTTTTACTTTACACACTGTCCAAATTTCTATGGGATACTGCAGATCAATGGGAGAATTCCAAGTTATTTTCACCAAGTTATTTTTCACATTATGTCGAATTACAATTTTCCAGAAATATAAACAGCTGTATAAACAAACCTTTATTTATTTATTTGTTTGTTTGTATTTTTACAGGTTTGGTCCTTCATAGACTGTATCATTTAGCACCAATTTTATTTATTTATTTATTTTGTTTGTTGTTGTTTTTTTGTTGTTGTTGTTTAATGTGCAAAATTATATAGTGTTGAAATTCACACGTCACTGGTGTTACTATGTTTAACTTGTAGTTTACTTACTATGGCATTGGTCTGTTTGGACACTGGAAGCGCACACTGACCTGAATTTGGCAGGTACCCATACGAATAAGAGTGTGTGTGGTTCTCACCTGGTCTGGCTCAAGTTGGATGGCTCTGTCATAGCAGGCAGTGGATTCACGCAGTACTCCAATGCTCTCATGCTCCAGGATCTGCTCTCTCAATGATGGCTCCTCTTTCCTCAGAGTATTCACATCCCTCACGCCATCTGGCTCGTGCATGGCCGCATACATAGTCTAGAATAGGGCCAGCAAAACAGACAGGTTACAACAGAACTTAAGAGTACATCTGATTTCTAGACAAATAACAACAAGATTAATGTACATTAATGTGTGAATATTTTCAAACCCCAAGCATATTTGATAGATCAGATTGTATTTTATTTTATTACATGACTCTCTGGAATAGAGCATTGTACAAAATACATAACAGCAATTTTCTCAGGCAACCGATTTTCTATATATAATACAGTTCAAAAGTTTGGGGTCAGTAAGTGTTTTTTTTTTGTTTTCTCAAACTGATCAAAAGTGACAGTAAAATCTTTCTATTTCAAACAGATGCTGTTCTTCTGCACTTTCTATTTATCAAAGAATCCTGAAAAAAGTGTGTCATGGTTTCCATACAAATATTAAACAGCACAGCTGTGTTCAACATTGATAATAAAAATAAATGTTTTATGAGCACTAAATTAACATATTAGAATGATTTCTGAAGGATCATGTGACACTGTTTATTTATGTTTGTTTGTATTTTTTACAAGTTTTGGTCCTTCATAGACTCTGTATTATTTTGCACAAATATATATACAGGTGCATCTCAATAAATTAGAATGTCATGGAAAAGTTCATTTA